CCGCCGCCGCCGCCGCGCCGCCCGCCGTCCCGGAGGCCATGTGAGCCATGGAGGCGGCGGCGGCGGGCGGCGCGGCGGGGTTGGCGGCGCTGCTGGGAGGCAGCGCTTCCCCCCACCTCCTCATCGTCTCCGCCGCCGAGGAACCCCCCTCGGGGGTTGTTGTTGGCGGGGGGGGGGGTGGTGGTGGTGGTCAACCGGACACCGACCTCCTCCTCTTCGCCACGCCGCAACCCGCCCGTCCCGGCGCCGCGCCCAGACGGCCAGCCTTGGGCCGACCGCCGGTAACGGGATGGGGAGGGAGAGGGGTCGGGTGATGGACGGGGCCGGTGTTGTATGTGGGGTCTGGTCGTGGAGGGTGGCGTTGAGCCCGGTTATACCGCGGGTAAGGCTGTGGGTGAACAGCGGGCAGGGCTCTCTATGGCACCGGGCTTTATACCGGGGCTGGACTGGGATGTGCGCCGGGCTGTGCTGTGCCGCTGCGACCTGCTATACCCTGTTAGGCTGTAATGTAAAGGGTATACATCTATATCTATATATATATATGTATATATTCTATATCTATATCTATATCTATATATATATGTATATACGCCATGCTCTCTACCATGCCATACCATACGGTGCCACCTGCCGAGTGCAGCCCGTCCCCAGCGCCCTCCTGGAAGCCACGGGCCAGGGCTCTGAGCCCTGCTCTGCCTCCCCCTCCTGCTGCCCACGCTCCCTTTGGGGGGCTCCCCCCCTCAACCCCCCCATCCCGTGTCCCTGCTGGGGTGGGTGACAGCCAGGGAGCTGCTTCTGTCAACAGGTCCCTGCTGGAAAAACGGGGAGCTTCTGTCCCCTGTCCCTGTTGGGGTGTCCCTCGGTGGTGGCCGTGTCCCAGCACCTTGGTGGCCGTCCCTCTGATGAGACCCCATCCCTTGCAGGTGAAGAGGAAGCTGAACTTGGAGACTGATCACCAGTACATCGCAGAGAGCCTGCCTGTGGGCCGGGGCAAGGCCAGGAACCCCATCAGAGGTACCAGCTCCCTGTCTCCCCCCAACCCCGACCTTCAGCCCAACCTGGAGCAGGGGGTCCTGCTGCCCATGGGCTGGGCTGAGCCTCTGGGCTCATCCCTGGCAGCTTCTCCCCATCCCTTTGTGTCAGTTTGGAGAGGCTGTTTCTGGTGGCACGGGTTGTCCTGCCCATCTGGTGGGCACCACACCGGCTCTGGCCTGTGGGATGGAGCTGTGGCCACCAGCACGGTGTGGGTGCAGCATCCCAGGTGGATCCTCCATCATCTGTCCCCTGAGTCCTGGCTGGCACCTTGGTGTCACAACTGGGGTTACGGTCACACCTGAGCACGGGTGTCGGAGCCCACCCCAGGTCCTGCAGCATCCTTCCCGGGGAGTATGTGGGGAGCTCACCCCATTGCTCTGAGGAAGCAGATGGGTTTCAGGGTGCCCGTCCTGGTCTGTGGGGGTTGGGGGGATGTTTTGGGACCTCTCAGCTCCAGCGCTGGGTTTCCCTCACGGCTAACTGATGCTTGTCCTCGGTGGGTGGCAGGGGCCAAGTCTCCTGGGGAGAAGTCCCGCTACGAAACCTCGCTGAACCTCACCACCAAACGCTTCCTGGAGCTGCTGAGCCAGTCACCTGATGGCGTGGTGGACCTCAACTGGGCGGCCGAGGTCCTGAAGGTGCAGAAGAGGCGCATCTACGACATCACCAATGTCCTGGAGGGCATCCAGCTCATCACCAAGAAGTCCAAGAACAACATCCAGTGGCTGTACGTCCCTGGGCTGGGTTCGTGGGGCTGTGGCTGGCTGTCCCTTGGTATGGGGACCTGCCTGGGGTGGAGCAGGGTCTTGCTGGGATGGAGAAGCTCAAAGTGGTGTCACTGGAGCATCTGCTCAAGGGTCAAGTGGTGGCTCCACCTTCTCATGGGCTTTGGGTGAGGGCTGTGCTTGAGCGCGGTGGCTCCCAAGCATCGGTATCCATCGGTATCCCTGGGTCAGCTGCAAGTCCCCCTTGGGCTCCTGAAGCCAGGGGAGCATCCAGGCTTGGGGATGGGACACCAGGGCTGTGCAACCCCGCAAGGTTGATTCCTTGGGTATGGGGTGGGATTGAGCCTGGCCGAGGTGAGGACGGTGCACGGGGACAGTCATGGTGTGGGACAGAGCGAGCCACGGTGGGGTTTGGCTCCTGATGGTCACAGTGTTCTCCACAGGGGCAACCAGGCCACGGTGGGGGCTCCCGGCCGGCACCGGCTGCTGGAAAAGGAGCTGCGGGAGCTGCAGGCGGCTGAGAGGCAGCTGGACGACCTCATCCAGATGTGCACGGTGCAGCTGCGCCTGCTCACCGAGGACCCCGACAACCAGCAATATCCTTTGGTGCGGGGCCGGGATGGGGCTGGTGGGGTGGGGGGGAGGCGGTGGTGCCCTGAGGTGAGCCCAGCCACGGGGAAGTCGGGGGCATTTCTCAGCCCGCCACGCGGAAACGTCCCCGTGTCTGCTCCTTGACCCGCCACACCGCAGCCTACGTCACCTGCCAGGATCTCCGCAGCGTTGTAGACCCCTCGGAGCAAATGGTGATGGTTATCAAAGCCCCACCAGAGACCCAGCTGCAGGTCTCAGACCCAGAGGAGGTGAGTTTGGGCCACCCTCTGCTCCCACGTCTGCAGAGCCCTCAGCAAAGCCCAGCCTTGGGCTCCTCGGGCATCTTTGTGCCTCCTCATCTCACTCTTCTCCCCTTTCCCCAGGCTTTCCAGGTCTCCGTGCGAAGCACTCAGGGCCCCATCGACGTCTTCCTCTGCCCCGAGGACAGCTCGGGGGTCTGTAGCCCCGTCAAGAGCCCCTTCAAAGCCCCCCCAGAAGAATCCTCTCCAAGCCATTCGCAGTCCAGAGCCTCCCCGCTCCTGCATCCCGCCCAGGACGTGAACATGCCACTGCTGCCCGGAGAGCAAGGTGGGCTGGGGACAGGGGTGGTGGGCACAGTGGCTCTGCCCAGGGGCTCTTACTGTGTGAGCAGATGCCCTTGGAGCTGGGGTGATGAATAAGTCTTGTGAGGAGCAGCCGAGGGAGCTAGGGGTGTTCAGCCTGGAGAAAAGGAGGCTGAGGGGAGACCTTCTCGCTCTCCCCAACGCCCTGAAAGGAGGGGGTATCCGGGGGGGTCGGTCTCTTCTCCCCAGGAACAAGGGATAGGGTAAGAGGAAATGGCCTCAAGTTACACCAGGGAAGGTTTATATTAGATATTAGGAAAAGTGTTTACCCTGAAAGGGTTATTAGCCCTTGGAATGGGCTGCCCAGGGAAGGGGTTGAGGCACCATCCCTGGAGGTGTTTAAAAGCTGGATTGACATAGAGCTTAGAGACATGGGTTAGTGATGGTTTTCATCAGAGTTGGGTTGATGGTTGGACTCGATGACCTTAAAGGTCCCTCCCAACCTGGCCAATGCTATGGTTCTATGCTCGGGCACCTCAGCAGGGCAAGGAGGCGGGAAGAGGGGTTTTTCACACCCAAAACCTGCTTTGGGGGGGGTTTCTTGGTGAGTATTTGGGGGATTTATGGCTGCTTTCCATCCCCGCAGAGACGCTGCTGCCGGGGCCGAGTGGGGTGCCCGGCAAGTGCCCGGCAGAGGAGGTGAGCCTCTCGCCACTGGCTTCCATGGACGCCCTCCTGGAGCACAGCAGGGAGGATTTTTCGGGATTCCTGGCGGACGAGTTCATCAACCTGTCGCCGCCGCAGGCGCAGGACTATCACTTCGGCCTGGAGGAGGGCGAGGGCATCAGCGAGCTCTTTGACTGTGACTTTGGGGACTTCACGCCCTTGGACTTCTGAGGCTCTGCCCGGATGCTCGGGGAGGGGGGGGTGGAAAGTGCCAGGTATGGGGAGGGGGGGGCTTGGTTTTAACCTAGTTTTACCCCAATCCAGGGTGCCGCGTGACCATTCAGGTCCTTGCAGGAGAGGAGCAGCGCAAGGGAGGATGTGGTGCAGGATGTGAACATTTGTCCGAGGTGCCTTTGCTAGTGGCAGTGCCGCTGTGGTGATCTTGGAGCCTGGTGGGCTCTGCTTGGCTGCTGCTGGGCTTCTTCTGGGTCCCAGGGTTTGCTGCTGTGTTAGAGCCACTGCAGAGCATCCTCTGCCTTCTGGGACATGCTCGGCTCCCTGTGCTGGCGTTTGGCCTGGTACCCCCGCTGCCAGCCTTGTCTCCATCTCAGCTGCTCTCTGGGCTTCTTTTACAGCCAGGCAATGCCTTGGCCACACAGATCACCCGACGCTGTGTCTGCACAGATTGAATTGCCTCCTCGTAGCTTTGGCTCTTTAGTAACTCCATGGGACCCTGAAGGCGATGCCAGTGCTGTAACACCCACATACTCAGATGTATCCATGTCCCGGCTTTGCTGGTGGCCAAAATGGGGCTGCTGGCAAGGCCACCGTGGTGAGGAGGGGCTGCAGAAAGGGGGACGGGGCTGGATGGGGCTGGTGGCCCTGGGACTGTGTGTGTGTCCCCTTGGGGGGGGGGACACAGGGGTGTCCCAGGGAGGGGGATATGGATCTCTGCGGGTGAGGACCCAATGCTGTCTCCAGGCTTTTCTTCCCCTCCCTGCGCAGCCCTTTGGGCTCTGTCCCCCCTCCCCCTCCTCCATCCCCCTGGGGCTGGGAGAAGTGATGGGGAGGAGAACGGGGGTCCTGAGCTCCCCCCCTTTCCCCCCTGACCCGGGGCCAAGCTGGAGACGCACTTTCACTTTTACTGCCTTTTAACAAGCTTGTGTTCCTCTGAGCTTTGTGTTTAATAAAGGTTTCTACTGACTGGCTGTGGGTGCAGGGCTGTGGTCGGGGGGGGCACTAGGGGTGGTGGGGACCTGAGAAAACAAGGGGGGGTTGGGGGTTATTTTTTTGAGTTTTCTTTTTTTTTTCCATTTTGAACCCGGCGGGGAATGGGGGGGGGGGGGGGGGGGGGGTCATCCCCCCACCCTCTGCTCCTCCAAAAAAAAAGCCTGTTCCCCAGGGGGACAGGGCCATGGCTCTGGATGGGGATGGCATCTCCTTTTGGCAGCCCCTGTCCCCCCCCTCGGCTCCTGTGCAGGGAGGAGGAAGGCAGCGTGGGGTCGATGCGAAACCAGTCCGTGCATCCACCCCACCAGCAGCCTCCCAGTGGCTTCCAAGCTCCCCCCAGCATCTCCTGGTCCTGCCTGAATTCAAGGTTCCCCTGTCCCTGCTCACTGGGGACCGAGCCGGCTGCAAGCAGCAGCCCTCCCCCCGAGTGCCCCCAGCCCCTCTGCAGCACACTGTCCCCTTCCCGGGGAGCGAGGGACATCGGGGACCCGCAGGGAGCGATGCTTGGAGGCTCCAGGGACCCCCTGGCAGCCTGAAGTGGGTTCTGGGGGGAGGGGGGCATGGCCACTGCCCCAGTGACAGGGAGGGACATGCCACTTCCTTCCTGTGTTTGTGCGCTTTTTCTCCTCTAAACGGATAAATATCTCACCCCCAACCACTTTGCTTAAGCTCCCCTTGCTCTGGCGCTGGCGGGGACTGGGAGCCCAGGTTCAGGTTGGACTGGGGTGACACGGTGAGCCCATCACGAGCTGGAGTGACACGGTGAGCCCATCATGGCGTGGGGTGACATGGGGAGCCTGTCAGGGGCTGGGGTGACAGTATTAGAAAGCAGCCCTGAAGAAAGGGACTTGGGGGTGCTGATGGATGAGAAGCTGGACATGAGCAGGCAGTGGGCACTCGCAGCCCAGAAGGCCAATCCCATCCTGGGCTGCATCAAAAGATGCGTTGCCAGCAGGTCCAGAGAGGTGATTCTTCTGCTTTACTCTGCTCTGGTGAGACTTCACCTGGAGTATTGTGTGCAGGTCTGGAGCCCTCAGTATAGGAAACATATGGACCTGATGGAGCAGGTCCAGAGGAGGGCCACAAGGATGATCAGGGGGATGGAGCACCTCTGCTACGAGGACAGGCTGAGGGAGCTGGGGTTGTTCAGCCTGGAGAAGAGGAGGCTCCGGGGAGACCTAATAGCAGCCTTCCAGTACCTGAGGGGGCTACAGGAAGGCTGGGGAGAGCCTGTTTACAAAGGCCCTTGAGGGACTGGAAGGGGCTCTGAGGTCTCCCCGGAGCCTTCTCTTCTCCAGGCTGAACCCCCCCAACTCTCTCAGCCCCCCCTCCCAGCAGAGGGGCTCCAGCCCTCCCAGTATCTCCATGGCCTTCTCTGGCCCCGCTCCAACAGCTCCATGTCCTTCTGCTGTTGGGGACTCCAAAGCTGGACACAGTATTCTTGGTGGGGTCTCATGAGTGTGGAGCAGGGGATCATGGAAGGTGATGGAGATCTGCGGTGCTGCCCGAAGGAGTGAGACCCTGGCGAGGGCAAAGTGGCCATTGGCTTTCAGAGGAGCCAGGAGGCACAGGGAAAGGGGAGAGGACTCATGCCAACGTCCTGAGCTCTGCAGGGCCCCTCCTAACCCCCTGTGGCAGCACAGATGTTCCCTTTTCCCCTGAGCAAAGGCAAACCTCTCTGATGGAGTTCACCACCACGTTCCCCTAATAGGGAACCTCACGGGATGGTGAGCCCTTGGGACTCCCGGTCCCTGGGAGAGCACCCCTGTGACAGGGACAGGATCGTGTCCCCCGCTGCAGCATCTTGGTGGGGGGAGGATGCGTTGGCAGCTCCACGCCAGCCAGAGCACCCTAAAAATAACCACTCTGCCTCCCGGGGATGATTCACGATGCAGCTGAAGGGCTTCCCTCCTGCTATTTCCAGTCGCTGGAGAAAGCTGCCGATGGCTCCATGAGGAGTTCTTGTTTCTGCAGAGCTCATGGCGGTTTTGGGCAGGGGTCCCCAGGTGCTGATTGATGACCCCTCTGCCCCACGACGCTTGTCTTCCATCGGGCGAAGCTGACACAGTGCGGGAGGTGGGCACCCTGCCCCAGTCCTGCCTGCCCCACGGGTGCTTGGCTCCTGTTTGCTCCCGTTCCCTGGCCGTAGCCCTGCAGGGATGTGCTCCCCCCCAAGCTCTGGGGGTGCCCTGGGCCATTGGGCTGCCCCAGTGGCTCCGTTGGCACCAGCAAACGCTGCAGCATCCGCAGGCGGAGCTGGGCTGTCCCCTGTCCCCGTCCTGCGATGCTCGGACTCTCAGGAGACACCAGCCATGGGACGAACTCTGGGGGGGGCAGCTTTAGACACAGCATAGAGTCTGTCAGAATTTTATACCTTTAATTTAATCCCCTTTGGAGGGTGTGGGCAGGTTTGGGGGGGGGTCCCCAGACCCGCTGATTTGCCTCTGCCCCACAGCAGTGCCAGCAGTGCCAGCGCTACCAGCCTGGCTTCTGCATCCTGCCCCACACCGGGTATTTCCACCGCTCGAAACCATTCCCATTTCTCCCAAAAGGAAGGAACTCAGGGAGGAGAAGCCCAGCAGCGTTTACTAATGAGATGCCGGGAAACGGGTGCTTCATTTAATTCCTGCCTGGTTGTTGCCCTGTGCCCCCCACACCGGGGGAGCAAAGAGCCCTGGTGTCCCCCCAACTGGGGGTGAGACCCCCTGCCTGGCTTTCGGGGCGCACTTTGGAAGCACCCATGGAAAGAGCTGGGGGACACTTGTTGCCTCCTGCCACCAGCGGAGGTTTTGCTGTGGACTTTGCCCTCAGGACTTCCCAACTTCTCCTTCCCATGCTGAGACTGGTGTTGAGCTCGAGGAGCCCTGGTGGGGACCAAGCAGGTATTTTAGCATCCCAGGAATACAGACACCCCCCCACCACTCCAGGGACAGGCTTTTGTCACCTGAAATAAAGGCTTTTGAAACCAAAAGTAGGGGGTTTTTATTTTTTTTAGAGATACTGCTTTATTCGATGCTGGGTGCTAGGTGGAAACCCACAAATCTACCGCACCTTACCAGGGACCTTCACCCATTTTTTATACACAAAAGATTCTCGTCTTTCCTAATCAACTCATCTTTTCCTGGTCATCAATTCCACCCACCACAACTCATTAGCGTGACCCAATAGCCTTCTCGCACACGCGTATTAAATTTTGCTGCATCAGCAAAACACCTTGGTGTAGGCATGAGCTCCTCGGTGGTCGTTTGGGTAAGGGACACCCTTCCTCATATCCGTGTAAGGAACTGAGTAATCTGAGGACAGTAAAAGTTTACTGTAAGTTTGCCACCTTCTCGTGGAAGGATAAGGGTGTTCCTTGAATCTTCATGGTCGGAAAGGACCTTGGAGATCACCGAGTCCAACCATACACACACACAAAAAACACCCCTCAACAATCCTGGGCACTAGAGCATGCCCTGAAGTGCCACATCTACACATTTCTTAAATACCTCCAGGGATGGTGACTCCACCACCTCCCTGGGCAGGCTGTTCCAGTGCCTGACCACCCTCTCAGGAAAGTAATTCTTCCCAATATCTAATCTAAACCTCCCCTGCCCCAACTTCAGACCATTTCCTCTGCTCCTGCCATTATTCCCCTGGGAGAAGAGGCCAACCCCCACCTCTCTACACCCTCCTCTCAGGGAGCTGTAGAGGGCAATGAGGTCTCCCCTCAGCCTCCTCTTCTCCAAACTAAACCCTCTGTCCCCGCTGCCATGGGGCCACCCCTCTCCCCGGTATCTCCGTTTCAGTTTGATTTGATGGTGGCAGCTCCACAGCTCTGGCTCTTGGACCCCTTTCTGCCTCCCAGGGGACAGCCCTGTGCCACATGGATGGGGGCACGTGCTCCCCGGAGCCCTGAGGTACCCCCGCCGGGTCCCAGGTGCACCTTTTTCTGCCTCTTTTCCCTCACACGCACCCGGAGCAGCTGGGAGATGGTAAAAATAACCATGATGCATCCTTTTAACCACCCCGGGCTCCCCGGGGGAGGAGGAGAGCGAGTGAGCTACACGTGCCACCACTCGGTCATGTTGGACCGGGGACGTGTCTTGGTTTGAAGAGAAGCTGAGCTTGGCAAAACGGGTTGGCCTCGAGAGGTCCACAGGAAGGGAGAAGTGGGGAAGGTGGAAACAAGCCTGAATGGGGTTTGGCATCCAAGAGAAACTGGTGCAAGCCCCATTCTCTAAGGAAGATCCTGAGGTACCCCTAGAGAGATGGGACAACCAGGGCTACACTGGGCCAACAGCATCCACACTGGGACCACCCATGTCCACACTGGGACCACCCATAGCCACACTGGGACTAATTGGGGCAACCAGGGCTAAGCTGGGGCCAAGTGGCCACAGTGAGGAGACCACAGGTGGCCACATTGGGACTAATTTTGGGGCAACCAGGGCTAAGCTGTGGCCAACAGTGGCCACAGTGAGACCACAGCTGGCCACACTGGGACCAGCTGAGGCAACCAGGACCACCATGGGCAGCATTGGACCCAACTGGGCCCCACAGCGACCGAGCCACGGCAACCACCGCCCGCCGCCCACCCGCCATCGCCCCCGCGTCCCTCAGAGCGCCGCCCCGCCCCGCTCCGCTCCCCTCCTCTCCCCTCCGCCAATGACAGGCGCCCCTCTCAGCTGCCAATCACCATCGACGACCAACCGGATGGCGGCGGGGGCGGGCCCTCAGCCCAGGCAAAGTTGCCGGGCGGCTGCGGAGTCACTCGGCTGAGTCCGGTTCCTCACCGCACGGCACCGCGTCTTACCGCACCCTACAGTACCGCACCGCACCGGACAGCATCCTACCGCACCCTACAGTACCGCACCGGACAGCATCCTACCGCACCCTACGGTACCGCACGACACCGTACCGCACCGTACCCTCCGGCACCGCAGCGTACGGCGGGGCCCC